GATCAAACCAAAAGCATACGTCAGAGAGAAATTACGACTGCGGATCCACAATAACACTTGAAAGGAACTTCTTACTTGTTAATGGTGACAGCAGAAGAGCAGTCGTACAGGTCACCCTCATCTTCCTCGTTTGGCGGGTTGGTGGAGAGCAAGAGAGGCAGTTTCCAAGTCCGAAACCGCGGACCGGTCGTGGGGTTATCCTCAAAAGCTTCCCGGAAACTGCGTTTCTTGCTGACTATCTCCTTATGGGTGTAAGTAGTAGTCGACGTAATAGAACTGGTAGTGGTGGTTTTGTCAGAGAGAGATGGAGTCTGTACTTGAAAACCCTCTTTCTTGATCTTCTCCCATGAAAAGGTGTCGAAGTGAAAGGGTTTGATAGGATTTGCTGGGAGAGAGAGGCTGAGTTGCAAGTCCATGATTGACGTGAAGGTAAACTGTCATACAAATTCGGCAGAGCAGATGTTTTTTGTTGAATAAAATAGTGAAGTAAAAGAAACGAGAGAGAGAGAGAGAGAGAGAGAGAGAGATTTTAGAGAGTAAGGGATCTGGGTTTTGTTTGAATGAGATAAGTTGATGAATATATGTATATGTATACAGGATGGGAGTAGAGATAGATTTTAATTGAAGGGGAAATTTAAGATGGAAGAAGGAGACAGAAGTTTGAAACATAAGGGAGGAGTGTCCTTATCGCTGCTCCACTTTTGGCCGACCCAGTTGCCCACATGTTCCCCTTTTGCTTTCTCTTTGTTTTCTGTGTACTCATCCATCCTTCGTCTTCTTCAGCCAACGACTTTGTCCTTAACTCAATCCCCCTTTCTGCAACTCGTACATGCTTTTCCGGACTGGTTTTTTTTTCTTTCAATGAAGAATTTAAATCAGAATATATTTTCTGCAAACGATCGATTATTAACATGACGGTCAGTTAGAGTTAACTGTAAAATACTTATAAACGAAGGGTAATTACTTTATTAAAAAGTAACAGAGCGTCAATGAGTCAGCTACGGGTGTCGTCTATTCACGCCTTCTCGTAGAGCTTCTTTCTAACGGGACTGACGACAGTCAGTTGCCCAAATCGGAATCTAACGTGTATTATTAGTCTTAAAGGCTATAATTAAAATTTTAATTACTAAATAATTAATGAATTATGAATTTAATTATTGACATTAAAATTCCTTGGAAACTACTTTAATTTTACTATTAATTAATCACGGCTACACATTTTAATTAATTAAATAAATACTTTTTTACTTTTTTTTCTAAAAAAAGTAACTTGCCGACAAATAATCAAAATATTTAACAAATTAAAATTATATCGGAGTTCAATTCATTCAATTACCTCAATTTAATAAAATTA